ACATCTTTAAACGCCGTGAAACAACGAAAAGCGCGATTGCTCAATAAATAAATGCTTTCGACTCATTAAATTTTACACTCAAGATGGTACGGAAAGGCTTTATAAGAGTTGGTATTAAAATTGGACAATTGGGTGGCCCCACCCACCTTTAGGTGCATATCTCATAAACTATTTGACCAATATCAACCAAATTGGGTGTGTAAGTTTATTTCGACATTCTTATGCTATGGAGTGAAATCGGGCTTCAACCATGCCTACTTCCCACATATCACATATGATTCTTTCACTTTAGAGTATTTAAATCGACAGCCCATGTAGTTATCGAAAGAATACTTTTCACACAAAATGCGTTTAAGGTACAGACGTGATCGAAATAACAAGATCAACCAAAGCGAACATGGAAATCCAGGAATAAAAGTTTTGCAAAAAACTTAAAACTTGTTTTGGGCAAACAGTTGTGTAAGGTTAGAGTTTTTGAAATATGCTAAACTTGGTTATCATATATATGTACGTTAATTTTTTTTTACCACTTTTTCGTGTTGCTTTGAGCCCGAAACGAACTGTTCTAAAAAATAAGAACAAAATATAAATAGTTATACGAAAATTTATTTAATGTGGAGAATGCTTTTGCATTTGGTATTAAGTTGTGCATACTCGATTTTTAATTATTTTGGTACATTTGGAGTGCTTAGAACTCACATCAGTGCGGTATCTAGAGAGAACTATATATTCCTAAGCTTTTTATGCTACTTTTTCATAGTTTTTGTAAATTTTTTGGTTTGGAGTCCCTTACCTCTCTTTTTATATCCATACAAAGGTATTCGATTGGATTAAGGTCAGGTTTTGCTATGAAACCTTTTGAGATATGCCTTCGGTTATTATTTTGATGAAATACCCATTGAAATGTCATATCCTCTTCGACATAAGTCAGAACCAAGTCTTCCAGATTATTATTAACATAATAAATTATGTCTTTAGTTCCTGTGATCCTCGAACTGTGACAGTCGAACTGAATAATCTTTGTCACATCGGTGCATAGAGCCTTGTGCCTGACTGACAGAGGTTGGCCTACAAACATTGGAACAAATTCAAGTAGCCGTTTTAAGTGTGCGCTTTTCAGTAAATATACTTTTCTGGGACTACGTGCTTTTAGGTTAGCCAAGATCAACCTTTTTTCTTTTATATGAAGTTGATATTGGCAATTGAAATTAATTTTTTACCTGCCTGGAAATTGTTAATGAGCACCTTTTGACGATTCATGTGATGAGATCATGCTGCCTATTAGAAGTTTGTTTGTGCCTGCCCCTCTTTTCAGCTTCTAGCGCCCTATATTGCAGTTTTATATCATTCTGTAAGTAACTTCCAATTTCTGCCTTATGTAGGCAAACATTTTCCTTTATGAAAGCATATTTTAATATCTTCCCTTTGGTCAGTAGAAGAATGTCGAGCTTCTCACGGTTTTAAAGGATTAATAATAATTTAAACTCCCCACTTGCTTAAATTCGCACTCAGACAAGAATATTAGAATGTAATAAACATTCATGTAGTCAAGATCCGGAAAATTTGGTGTCGATAATGGAAACCGCCTTTTTGATTTTGTTCTTATTTTTTCGGACAGACTGTTTCGGATTCAAAGCAGTAAAATGGATATGTTAACCAAGTTTTGTATTTTTTAAAAACTCTAACCACACACAACTGTTTGTCGAAAAAAGTTTAAATAAAATGTTTTTGCAAAAGTTTTATTAATGGATTTCTATTATTAAGTGAACGTATAATATTGAACAGCATAATTGGTCCACGAATTACCCCAACTTCCATATACTATACCCTCTTTAAACACTTTACTGTGAACATACTTTTTGCTCTATCTCAGTAGTGTGGTAAATTTTGTTCCAAAACAGTTAATTCAATTTTATTCAATACTTTTAAAAAAATTTTCTAAAATTATTTTGTAGTGAGTAGCAAATGTATTTATTCGCAATGATCCAATGAATTTTTTAGGCTACGTCCAAAACAAACAGTTGATTTGATGTTACCAAGTAACGAAAATAATTTCAAGCTTGTTACACTGCTACTAATGTTAATTTTAAATGTTAACAAATTAACAAAGCTGGTGTGAATACTCCTAATGATTTTCGTTATTCTAGCTTTTTCCTCATGTACCCAATATTAAATTTAGCCCCTTTAGTTGAGTTGAGATTAAATTAATTTTAAAATAAATATTAGTAATGAAACTAAGTGTGCCAACGATTTGATATATAGGTACATAAATGAATAAGATACCTAGTTCGATTGTAATCCATTCGGTTTCTTCGAAAAATGCATTTCGAATTCTTTTTTCGTTTTGCAACCATTGAAAGTATTGGCCCGTTTTTGATTATTGCAAATTGCGAGAGTATAAAATGTTCGGTTGTTCCCGAACTTCGCCCTTTCTTACTTGTTTTATTTACCATTTAACAAAAAAAAACCGAAATCTCGCTATGCATTAAAATTTAAAACTCGTGATTTGGATTAATTTGCAAAAGTGTCTAATTGTTTGTAGTTATCACTAAATAACTGCGAATGTTCGTGAATATGTACAATGTTTTTGCCAATTTTTGTGTGAAAATATTGTCTGTCGCGACAGCAACAACAATAATAATAAATTCAATTCGTATTATTATATGTCGTTACCTATAATGAAAAGCAAAATATTGAAATTTTTTATTGATTACGATTTACTACATCATATTACACACTATGTTTGTATGTACTAAATTGTATGCTTCAGCTATCAGATAAACCTAAGTTTTAACCAAAACTAAAATTTTCTTTCAATATGCGTAGTTTCTATTTTATTTCGTTTTTTTCTTCTTCTATAAACCTCTGAAAGGTGATGTTACGTTCTTTGAATGCTTGGTGACGATATGTAGATATACATAACTGTCGGGACTTATCTTTAGTGTTTGAATTTATGGATAGCTAAATTAGAAGTTCTTAATCTCATTTTCATCTGAAGTTACCTAAATTTTTAAGAACTTAATATATATTTACTACAAATCAAGAACAATTATGGTTTTGTTCAAATGGCCAATCTAATCAAGTAATAAACGGATTGATCATATCGCCCAAAGAAAGGCGATGATGCTAATATATTCATAAATCTTTTTAAGCCCGATTAAACATATTTTATCGCTAGCAAAATTACGTTAGTCTAATAGTACGTTTTTTTTTATTCTGAACTAGAGTATTAGGAATCACAACGATATTTATTCAAAAATATTTGATATGACTTTTAACACTTTCCATGTCCATTTTTGTGTCGCGAAGGAACAAGAAGATATTCACATTCTAATAAGTTCCAATATTCGCTCCCTCTTACCTGGTAGTAGACCAACAATAAAAATTTTAAATCTAAATACTAACCCAGCATTTGGATAACTGCACTTAGTTTAGGTATGTTTTGGCTACTTTCATAAGAAAGACGTTGTGAATTTGTTATTATTAAAAGCAATAGAAGTTAGACTAGTATATATACTATTTGCATATATGCAAAGCTTGTATTAATTTACTAGTAACATCGTTATAAATGTACTTAGTGTATTCACATACGACTATAGATACAAGCAGACATGATATATGTGCTTCTTCCATTTTAAACCCCCAAAAGAGGTTAGTGAAAGCATTTTTTAATGGAATATAATTGCAAAAAGTATATTAACTTGCAAGCGCAAGTGCAACTGGAAAGAAAATCTCTAAGCAAAATTATTATTATTTTATCATTTTTCTCGGTAAGTATAATATCGCCGAATTTATTTTTACATAACCTAATGGGCCATTTAAACAATTTATTAATAGTAATAAAGAATTACAATGTACTAAATATTCCAAAAGCCACTATATACAATACATGAACTGATTATAATTTTAATTTTGTAGGTATATTTCTTATTACTCGAATTGCCTTCCTTACATTCAGATAAAGTCAGTAAAATGAAAGCAACGTTACGTTTAATAGTGAGCAATATAGTCGTGTTATTCGAATTTTTGTTCCCCAAGTCAATATTAATCATCTTTGTGCTAAATACAGTAAGACCTCGCTTAAGATACGTAGGACACTTTCCATCGAAATAGAGCGTAATGCGAAACAGCGCTTAACGGAACATGTAAATAATGGAGTTAGGGGAAGATGAATATAAAATTGGTTTGGTATTCAATTTATTATTTGTTAAAAAAAATTATAAAACTATAAGTTCCTATAAAAACGAATAAAATTTTAAGTCAGTCATATCAATAATTCTATTGTAGTTTGTGTTTCTAATTTTCTGCCTTTTTGTCAAGCAGGCATATAATGTAGTTGGCGTTTTTCGTTTACGATCTGTTAGAAGTTGTTGATAAGTGTTATTCCAAGAAAGGTTTATGTTTCCTATAGTATTTATGATATTGTAGTTTTTCCAAACTTCTCTTATTGATTGCTTCGCTTCTAACGTCTTGGTCCATTGGTTGGATTAATGTATGTATGTGTGTATTCGGATGCACAATTGCAGGGAGTCCACGGATTCAAATAAAAAAGCATAACATCGTAGCAGGAAATAAGCTGGCAGATATGACCAGAACTCTTCTTCACCGTGGGTTCTCCTCTGGCGCCAAGTACAACTCAAAATTTTTTCGAGTGCTAGGGCTGGATCAAATTTTAGAAAGAGGCAGGGACAATAGGCCGCGGATCGTAGTGCAAAAGTCATTTACTGAGCTAAAATTAATAAAAAAAGATGATCTCATTCAAACTTAGTATGAGGGATATGGTTTAGTCGAATCCTATTGAACGCTTCGATTGTGTATAAATTATTGTATTTGTTTATATGAGTGAAATCTAACTTTGTACTTAAAATCAATAAACTTTTTATATTCATGTTTAATTTTATAAAATTCTATAGCGAATTTTCATAAACTAATTTTATTCTTATTTTAAATAAAATTGTAACTATCCTCTTTAATATAAATTTTTGTTTATCTTATTTCAGCTAACTAATCATGTGAAGTGTTGTAATTAATCTGATGGAAGTATCCTAAATACTGTGAGTTATAAAAAAGTACAGCACAAAATCAGCAATTTAAAGTACACAAGTTGTAAGTTTGATTGACCATTGTTGCAAACATGTCAGAAGACAACGCTTTTAAGGATGGTGACATCGTTTGGGTTAAACTGGGCAACAACTGGTGGCCCGGTGAAGTAACCGATGTGCATCGCCAACCTGATGACCTTCTCAAACAACTAAGGAAGAAACCCTATTGCGTTGTAAAATTTTTCCAAGAAGATGCCTAGTCAGTATAATTATTAATATTGAATATCCTATTCCTATAAGTAATTGGCTGCTGATCTTGTTCGTATATTTTTAGTGAATATATAAAGAGTGCAAAACAAATATTTCCTTTCCAATGCAGCAAAAAAGATGAGTTCATTAAAAAGGGGACGGGTGAGTATATAGTTGTACACCATATGTTAATTTGTTTTTTTTAATATCATTATGTACAAAATAATATTTTCTTTTTTTCAAACAGCTTTATATAATGCCAAAAATAAATTTATGGAGAAGTTTCCTTCAGATGTGGAGATCGCTGAACGTTTAACACGTAAAGCTATTGATTCAGATTTGTTGATTATAAATGATCGTCCAGATAGCATTGTCAAGGCAATACTAGGACCAACTTTTACACGACGTAGTAATGATTATTACGACAATGAATACATCCATAGTTCTACCAATGACTACAACAATAAGCGCAGAAGTGGGGTAGGTTCAAATACTAATCACGTTATTTTAATTAGTTTTATAAGTTTACTTCCAATGGAACGTAGTCACTCATTTCAGAAGGTTCATAACGAAAACTTTATTATTATTTAAGAAGCTGCAGAAGTAGAAAAGCTTCAACGACTGTCGAGACTGCTACACCAGGAAGAATTCCTCTAAATTATTTTAATATTTTTCAAGGGTAGTTTAAAGTCTAGTAAATGTATAGGTCGAGACCCACTTTAGATTATTCCCTATCCTCTACAAGTATTTGTGCTACCAACGATTTTTAGAAGCTTATTTGTGAAAGGGACTCGTTCTTCACATTAAATATCTAGTATTTTCAATATAACTGTGATCGTGTGGAAGAGTACCTTGAGTCGAGTTATAGACAATATTTCTAGTATTAGAACTTTATACATAAAATTTCAAATATTACATTTTACAAAGAAATTATGTTTCTAAACGTACTTTACTTGGTCTAATTAGCATAAGCTCTATACAAGTAGCCATTGTCTATTTATTTTTAATCATTTATATTCGAGTTTACTACATTTTCATACGAACACTGACAATTTTAAATATCACTCGTAAGCTTTTTCATAATAAGGAGTTAAATTTTCAAACGATTTTTACTTGCCTTTCAAGGATTCTGTAACAAAAATCCTCAACATTACACCAAAACGTACAACCACAACAACAATAACAACAAACCGTACTCCAGATATAGGAAAATCACTAGCTTCACCGCATATCACTTCAAGTTTCGTAACGAACTCTACTCCCAGCAGTGCTGAAACGAATTTTTATCGATGTAATCTGTGCGATTTCTCTAGCCAAAGACAAAATGTCATGATATTACATCGACGCACACATAGCTGTACTGGCACGCCAACATCCGCACAGACACCTTCAACGTCCAATGCACGGAAGATACCTTCGGCTACTATAACGTCAGAAAGCGAGTCTAAGAGCTATATCGCTGCGATGACTTGGAAGCTTCAATCGCCTGCAACATCTTCGAAATGCGAACCTAACTCTTTGAGCGAAGATGATGATCAAAAATATTCTGCAATACTTGACACCAGGACATTTCACATAGCAAAGTCCACAAAAAGTGAAATCTTGTCACCGGTGAATAGTCGAAACGTTAGTGGCACCAAACACAAGCCTTATCCGCTGGCCGGAAGCGAAAGAGCAAGTCGGTCTGCTGCTGCAAGCACGTCGCGGGAGAAATCATACACATCGTTGCGAATTGATGCCGATGTAAAAGAAATTACTTTACCCGACGGAATGCCGGTTTCTTCCATAAAGGGAGAGCTTAAATTGAGTATTGAAGATGATACCACCGATAACTCATCGTCACACACGACGGAGGACTTGTTGAGATCATGCAGTCCGCGAAAGCGCAACATTGATTCTGGTGAAATTATGGATAACAAATCGACCATGTTGAAAAGTACGGCTGAAGAAATGCGCCTGCGGCTACTGGCTGATTGGAGCGACGGTGAAAAAGAGGATGAGTTGGTTGACGGTGTAAAACTGAATTCCAATCTGGAAATGCCTTCAAAGATGGAAACACCACAATACAAACTAGATAAGTTAACAACAACGTCAACAACTGAAGTGAAAAGTGAAAACAGTTCATTTGATTTGGCGACACGAATATGTGCGACAATAAATAACTTTGGTGCACAAACTTCAAATCAGACTCAACATCAAAATCGTATTAGAAACATACCGAAGAAGGATCGACGTGACGCCGTATTAAAAGAATTCATAAATGATTATACTGTAGAGTTGCCCACAGTAGTTGAAAATATGGAGAATATAAACTGTAATAGCAGCAGCAGCTCCGATTCGGTGGTTGTAGTAGGGGTTGTGCCACCAAATAGTGGTGAAACAATTATTCTCGATGACAACACTGGCACTGATGGTGAAACAGAATCAACGGTTGGCAAAGATGGATTGGTGAGAAATGAAGCATCGAAGAATAATATACAATTCAATTATATTACAATAGATAAAATAAATGTTGCGCGCGTGGTACAAGAAGAACATTTATCTGAGGAACATCTAGAGGAGTCGAATATAGAAACGGAAGTACAAGTGCCAATGGAATGCACTGACATATCAGCTAACCAAGAGCAAGTGTCAGAACTTGAAGATAGACAAAATGAAGAATTTCAGTCGGAGCAACAAGAAAACGCAGAAACATTAACTTTAGTTTCCAACGAAACGGGAGAACTTGAATTTGAAACCACTGAGGAAAATGTACAAAGCGAACCGAGACAAGAAATTAAAAACTTGAAGTCAGAAAGCGAAAATGTGAAGCAACCGAAACAAAAAAGTCGCGGGAAGGGACAAAAATCAAATAAAAGACAGAAGAATCCAAAGGAAATTCTTAAAGATAGTTTTGAAAATACAACAGCAAATAAAATGGTAGAGGAATTGCCAAACGTACATACTGCACATGAAATAGTGGCAGAACTTACCCCAGTGTCACCACAGTGCTTAAAAGAAGAAGAGCAACCTCAGACCAGCGCGCCTGTGAACCCACGTACCGATTGCTTTGATTTTCAAGATGAAGAAGATGATACTAGCAGCGATGCTTTAAAATCTATAGCCGATTTCAAAAAGAAATATCTTTCCCCGGAGAAAGGACAAGACAAATCTCAGACTGATAATAGCATATTGCCCGAAAACGAACGACGACTTTCAAGTGAGCAGAGGGATCAACAGCTGGCGGATGACATCGAAAAATTGCTTGAACAAACAACAGCACCCAATATTGCTGAGGAGGGATGTCTCGCGGTTGTTTCCCCAACACAGTCTTTCGGTAGCACCAAGGAGGAGTTGCCAGTTAAGGGCTTACCGATTAAGGAACGAGGTAAACGTATATTCAAGTCTCGTAATCGCTCAAGGATTGAAGATCCGCCTACATCAACAGCAGATAGTTTGGAAATTGTTTTGTCAGGGCAAGCAATTGCTACAGTGACAAAAATGGACGAAAATGGAATGGTGACAGTTACTGAGCAACTCCAACTCGAGGAAAAAAATAAGTTTAGTGAGAAAGTTGAATCGGAGATAAAAGCTAAGCAACAAAAACAATCTGCTTCTATAGATGGCGTCGATGAGTATGAAAATGCATACCAATCTGCGGCATTTACAGCACCTGCGTTAGAAATGAATGATGTAAAAACGAATGATTTTCAAGTAATGGAACAAGATAAAGAGAACGAAGGAAATGTTGAAATCGTGCGCCTCGATTCCGTCGAGGAAACTACTATTTTAAAAGTAAAAAATTTAAAAAATGGTTCATTAGCTACTCCTAATACGACGATAGAGGTCTTACATTGTGCAAGCTTGGAACAAAAGAAATCCACAATTATAGAAAATAATGAAACAAATTTATGTCCAACAGAGACACAGATTTACAATCCTGATGATTTACAATTCTCAAAGCAAAATATTGAAGACACAGAACAAAAGAACGGATGTGAAACCGAAAATTTAGAGCCAATTAAGGAGGACAATGTAAAAGAACCTCAAAATTTTTCACCACATGAGAAACTTGAAGATGAACTGAAAACACTAAAAGAGCATAATAATACTGCCGACAATGCGGCATCCTTAGAGGGCATTCAAGAAACCTGCGATGAACCGACTCGTGCAGTCGAGCAAGAAAGTCTCAAAGAGAAGTTTAAATCTAATGCTACAACCGGAAGAGAAATGATAAATGAAGATTTTAGTAATGATTTAAAAATTCTTCCACCCACAACGGCATTGCCTAATATACAGAATGAAATAATATTGATCGATACATATACGGCAGTAGACAAAGAACAATCTGTAGTCGCGGTCATAGAGCAACAGACAAATAATGGTGATAAACAGTTGGAACAAGAAACGGAGAATTGTTTGGTTGTAAATATGAAGAATGATGTAGTGGAAGAACAACAACAATGCATCATGTTGTTAGGGGAAGAAGTACCACAAAGTCGCCTCACTTCGCCAACTGACGACAACAGTTCGATTTGCATTTCAGAAGCGGGTGCAGAGTTTGGATCGCCCACCTCAATGTTAGACGATGAACGTTTGCCAACGTTGACTGATAGGCTGATGACACCCACCGATGGGTTGGTTGAGACAATACCTACACGAACCGAAGAGTCTAAAATACTAGTTGAACAAGAAATGAATGTTGAAGGAGAACATGAAAATGTAAGCGATAGACAAAATAAAAAGATAGAATCAATAGACAAAGTTCTTGTACCATTGATTGAAGGCAAAGAAGTTGCAATAACTAAAATCCAGAAAATATTGGGAGAGGTAGTAGAAGACATAGTACGTAAAAGTGAAATGAATGAAAATGAAACCCATACAGCTGTGGAAGAATGCGATGGAAATGCTAAAGATGAAAACACCAGTTTCATAGCAACAAGCGTACCAAAAAATATGGAATCTGAATTGGAAGAAGAGGAGCTTTTGAAAGAGAAAAATCAGAATAACCGCGAAACAAGTGATGTGAATAACTCTCTTATTGAACATTCAGAAATTTCCGAAAACAATAAAAATGATAAGTCAAATTTTTTAGAATGCAATGATAATGTAGTTAATACACCGCGTAGTGGAACCGATGAAATTCATTTAAAGTGTGTAGAAATTAGGAAGCCTGAAATCCAAAACCAAACTGAAATTGTTAAAGAATTGACGTGTGAAGTCCCATTCGAGACACAGCAGAAAGAAACTGAAACAGGAGACATTGTGAATAATGTTATTGAAGAGCATAATGAAGAGAACGAAAATCACCTGTCAAAGGAGGAAGACAACATTGTGGAAAATAAATTAATTGAAGAGCAGTTGCAGATTGAAAATGGCGCAAAACAAGAAGGCGACAAAACACTGAGCACGGATTTTTTAAATAATGAAGTGTCTAATGAAGCATTAGCTAAAGATTTTGAGCATGCACAGCATGAGTATTCCGATGCAGATGACGATTTCATCGAGAGTCCACCTCATGAGCCGCTTTCCGGACATGAAGGGGAAGGTGATACAGAAAAATCTGCGCCAAAACCAAAATTATTGAATAAAACACATAAGCGTCGTGCAAATGCAACACAAGATAAATTGAATATACAAGTTGAGGCTAAGGTGGATCCTAATAAATCTGTAACATCGAATTCAGTAAACAACTCAACAAAATCATTTTCCGAATTTACCAAAGATAAAACCAGTAGAAAACGACAGGCCCGATCGGCGAAACAACGGCAAGAGAGATCGAATGATTTTATGAAAGAGCTGGATTTATCAGATTTAAATGAGAAAAATAATACGACGCTATGTCAAAACCAACGAAAAGCAATGAAAGTTGCAAAATTAGCGGAAAAAGAAACCGAAACATATACAAGAAACGATGATGTTGTTGTTGCAGGAGAACCAAAAGATGCTGTCGCCGATCAAATAGGAGTTGATAACCTGAATATAACAACTTCACAAATACAAAATGAAAAATCTGAACCCAAATTGATCGTTTTGTCCACCGATACATGCGGTAATCCACAACCACACGAGCAGGTTATTGAATTACCAACTGGCCAAGCTGCCGTAAATTTCACACCTACAGTAAAATTTGGATGTTCTCGCAAACGACGTAGCGCTACAAAACCAGCTCCTCGACGTAATGTGGTCGCGGTCCAAAATTTAGTAATACAAGAGAACGATTTAAATTACGAAGAAGAGGGCGTACAGCGTGTGAAGAGTAGAAATGTAGAGAACCCAAATATCAACAATACAAGTATTGAAAATATGCAAACAGATGAGGAGATCAAAACTACGCCAAATGAGATAACAAACTATGAAGATGAAAATAAGAGTAATTATTTGGAGGAAGTGGAAGGGTCAGAACAAACCGTCGAATGTAATGATAATGAACCAGCAGACTCTCTTATAATAGAGGACGACCAGTGCATAATTGAAGAAGTATACCTAAATGATACAGTGTCAGTGCAACAAATAGCAATTGAGGAATCGCCAGATAATGATACCACAAAAGATGAAAACACTTCAGAATCAACCGCCTCAGAGTTAAATTCGTTTCCTTCTATTGATGAACAAAACGCAGTGGAATATGTGAATTACTCTTCAATTGAACATCAACAACCGATCGAAGAGGTAATAGTTGGCGCTGCCAACACAGTAGAAGCGGCCACGGGCATTGACTCGCTACAAAACATGGACGAGAGCCCGAATATTGGAAATGAGATGTTAAATAAGCGACTGGTATCTCCCATTAATCCACATTCTAAAGCAGATAACACATGGTGAGTATACACAGTAGTGGTCACGAATTTAGCACACTCACATTGTTTTCAAATAAATATGTGAATGTATATTTTTAGTGTAGTATTACATATGCATATTAATTATGTATCTGTAAAGAAAAAAATAAAAACTGAATTTTATAGCCTGGACACGAAGTTAGCACATTCGCCAGTTTTTTCAATTTGCATCGACTTTCGAAACTTGCCTTGACAGAATTCAATTCCTATTTTAGTATATGGTTTGAAATCCTCTATTTTTGATAACTTCTGTATATCTTTTACTTAAACTTTCAACTAAAATTTCGCATCGTCTCTTCGGAATATCAAGCATTTCGGATTTTAATCCACAGAACAGAATTCAATTCTTATTTTAGTATATGGTTTGAAATCCTCTATTTTTGATAACTTCTGTATATCTTTTACTTAAACTTTCAACTAAAATTTCGCATCGTCTCTTCGGAATATCAAGCATTTCGGATTTTAATCCACAATTTTGCTAAGTTCACCGTTTTTTTGGTTCCACGTGATGTTCCATGTCATTCAAAAATTCTCAATTGAATTGAGATCGGGAGGCAAGGAGGCCATTTAAAACATCGGTTTTGATTGTGTTCCTTAGATCGTGCTGCTTGTTTTTAAGCAAGAGGCTATCGCTGTGCTATGCACCCTCGCAAATTTCGTGAATTAAGCCGACGATCTTGAAGATACAGAAATATTGTAATTTGCCTCTAATTCCTTCTGTATGTCCTTGGAGCTTCTAAAACCAAACTTTTGAACATGTTGTATGGAGTTGTACATCATTTTCCGTGAGCATTTCAGTAAGAGAGTTATCTCCGAACAGCAGCGACTTTTTGCCATATCTAATTTCAATCGGCAATATTTATAAACTAATTTTATAATTTCTCGAATTTCTGTTTATAATTACCTTGAATTTTGTTGTCCGCACCGAAACTAAAACCGCAAACATCACAAAACTAGAAAATGTGCTAAATTCGTGTCTAGCTTTAAATCTGCACTATTGACAAAATTCGCGTTTATTTTATAACCGATAAAAATAAAATGTGTAAAAATTAAAGGAATTTGAACATTGTGGAAGTTCCAATTAGCAACTGGGCTTTTTCCTGGAATGTTGTATAAGTGGAAAAAAATCAATGCCTACTAAAAACATTAAGGTGTGTGCTAAATTCGTGGCCACCACTGTATGTATGAGTACTTAAGGAATAAGAAATTAGCAAAATTTATAATTGAATTCTCTTGAGTTGATGATGAGATGATCCTCATCATCTACAAATCTCTTATAAATATTCCTTTGCAATAACTGGATTATAGGATATTTTAAACATTGTCATCTTCTTACAGTATCAATATTTCTCCCATGGAGAAGGTCCGCATCAACGTAGATGTTGCCAATCCACTCTCCACACAAATAGCAAATATTTTAGCCACAAAATCTGCCGCTGGTGCAACATTAACGGCAGCAGCAGCAAAGCAAAGGAAGTCTAATCTCGAAGAATCTATACCATCATTTATAATCGAACGACCAGGACAAGGGGTGGGTTCACATAAACAACAACAACAACATGCATCATCTTCCGGTTTAGAGTTTATTGGTGAGCAAGATGCTGTTGCACATGTACAGCAAATGTGCCCCCAGGTTAAAATCACACGCAAAGAAAAATTGATTGAAGTAGCGCAAACAGCTGCCCTGGTACAACAGGAACAAGTTGGTGCAGCTTCTGGCGCTATGTTCGACATCAGCAATATGCCGATAGTGCTTGGTAATGAGCATTTTATGTCAGCACAGGGTGATATGCAAATTGTATTGACATCATCCGCAGAAACGGAACAACATTTAGGTTCAGATGGCCCACAGATTTTACAACAACAAATTATACAACCTGCGTACAGATCGACACAGCAAACTTCTCAGCAACGGCAACGCAAACGATCCACAAGTCAACAGCAGCAGCAACAGCTGCAACAAACGAGCAGCGTGGGAGCTAATAAGCACGGTATAATTTTAATCAAGGCAGCGCCGAGTGATTTGATAATACAACAGACACCTTCAGTTCAAGTGACCCATGCGCAATCGCAGGCGGTTGCCGGTGGTGCTACACAACAATTCTCTACATCATCCTCCGATACAATGACCACATATAACCTCGGTTCCGGTGTCACCTTGCGCCCAATAGCTGAACCGAAACAAAAACAACAGCAACGCCAACAACAGCAACTTCAGCAGCAGAAGCAGCAACTGACTGGTAATAAGTCAAAGCCCACGGCGTCCTCATCAACCGGTGGCCGCAAACACGCTGGCAATACAATAACATTGCCAAGCAGTATTACAGTGAAGCATCGGCAACAAAAAATTACGGAGGATCCATCAAATGCAGTAGGAAGCGCAACAACAGCAAATGCAGTGCTTAATGAGCAACCACCGCAACTAACTCCGTCGACAAATGCAAGCAGCGGCTGTAAAGCGCAGAAGCGTAACTACCCAACAAACTCAAAACGCTCACAAACTCAGTCACAGATAGTTCATCAACGACGATTAACTGCTACGGCGAGCAATTTGGTGGAGCTTCAGCAGCAAAATCTACAACAATCTACTAGCGACGATTGTGCATCTCTAAATAGGCGATTAAGTCATTCAGACGGACATGCACCACCGCCAGCAAAAATATCTCGAAGCCCCGCTGCTGGCACATCTACATTGGACAACCACAACGAGCCAACATTTGCAGCAACGGCGGAACAACAACTTTTGCAACTGCAGCAGCAGCAATTACAACATGCAGTACAATCTCCGACGGCGACACAGCCACCGCCACTACATCCTCTGCACAATCGCAAGCAACGTCATTCATCACAACACAATCGACGAATGAGTACGAAAACCGAGTTGTCAGCACAAATGTGCTTGCAAGAACAACAGCAGCAGCAGCAACAACGATTACAGTCAACGCAGATGGTATTGTTGGATCAACAGCAACAACAAAGTTTGGAACATCAACACCAAGAGCAACACTTGACTGCAGTTCATATAGCAGAGTTAGCATCGGCGTCGCCGTCGACTGAAATTATTCCTGCGGAGTTTGAAGCAATACAAATGCAAGAGCAAGTGCCTGAAGTATACACCGAAGAGATTTTAGCTGAAGAATTTGAAGCAAATGAGGTAAATGAAGAGTTAAGATGTGATTTACATGAATGCATTTTAGGATAATTCAATTGTTTAATTATATATATTTGCAGCATACACCATCAGTAATAGCCGTGCCGGCACAGTCAGTACCAGGCTACCCCGACACGTTATTATTATGTCGAAAAGTAGGTGAGGAGTGGGTGCCGATAGTTGCTCAGCCTTATTACTATACACGCTGTGACCAACAACTAAGGCCCATACCAAAGGAAGTACTTATCGGACATCCGATATTGACGCCGAATGCTGATAAAACACCGGATTTCCATACTGCCGAAGTAGATACGGAAGATGTGCAGACGGCCCCTGCTAATGAAGCGTACAAAGGAGAGACTGGGGTTACCATTTTAATTGGCTCTGAATTAGTACATATGGAATGGGATCAGTTTTTGGAGGTAATGCGTTCTACTGATGATTTGTTTGATTTGCGCGATCACCTTGGACGCGTATTCCAGCTGACGCGGGATGCATTAGATACCCTCCAACAGGATGTTAATTTGCAAGAAAAATTTCGGCAACTGCAGCAGTTGTTGGAAGAACAACAATTAGAGGAGCAACAGCAACTGGAGCAACAAGAGTTATTGCAACAACAATTCATACAGCAGTTGCAAACAGTTACAGTAGCTGGAGATGAAGGATTAGAAACCGATATCATACCATTGCTACAAATAGACACATCGCAAACGTTACAACTTATAGGAACGGATGACGGTAGTCTTATACTTCAATCGGCTCTGACGCAACCACCACTTTCACCTCCATGCACGCGCCCTGCTCTAACAAATGCGACAAATGCGTTGCTAAACCAAACGCCCATTATGTCGCCGCTGGAGAAGCCATCTACAGCGGCTAATACAGCTTTGATAGCCGAAAATTCGGGACAACACATCGACCTGTCCTCAGCAACAACAGCCGACCATCTTGGTGCAGGTGGTTTTATTGCGTCCGATTCAGGAAGTGGCATGCCAAGTTTGGGCGATAGTCTGGCCGTTATAGGAGTTGTGCCCACACAACCTACACTGCTGCCCACCACCGTTACCAATCCAGCGATTGCGCCGCCAAAGTCTGATTTAATACCCAACATGACAACGGCAGCCCAAATGCACGCGCAATACCGACATGCACAACGTGCAATATACAATGATCCTGGGAGTTAATATTGTTCCAATGTGCTCTATTTAGACAATGTCCACAATGGTCTATTAGAGAATGTGCGAAGGACAGGCAATGCTGCAGGCGAATGTGCGGACGGTGTTGGCATGGGGGTGGATGAAGTGAATGAAATGAATGATGAAAATATGGATACAAATGTGGTAGGTTTAAACGAACATTTCTTTTTCAATTAGAGTTCCATCACACACTCACCAACCACCTTTTCCTGCAGACATTACCCATATATTTCTATCAAATCTTTTATGTAGTAATGACTATTTAGTGTGAGATTTAGTTGTAAAATGTAGTTACATTAACATTATTATCACTGTATGAGTGTATTTTGTAAAAAGCTGTACATTCGCTTTACTTTTATATTTATAAAATTATAAATTTAGTTTAGTTAATACGAATATTATATTGTTTGTGTAAGTTGGCATTAGGGTAAATCAAGTTGGTTTTGTCAATTCGTGTCAGTGCCGTTCTTCCATTCTTAAAAAATATCGATTTCAACTCTCTACTGCCTACTGACGATAACTAGGCTTGTTTTCGCAAGGTACAATAACTTACGCATATGTTGCTCCACTTAGCTGCTCTGTAATGTGATCTGGAAAAGAAATGCTTTGCTATAGACAATCGTCGTTGTGGGTTACTTACGATGAATTTGTTCAAATGTAGTTGCAACCCATTACAAAGTAATTCCTTGCTTTCATTTGGTAACTTATTTTTAATCAAACCATTTACAGCATTAAATGTACTCGAATAGGTGTATAAAACATGTGTATACACATGTGAGCAAATAAAAATGAAGAGAAATTGAAAAAAAATCCGAATTTTGTACTGCTGCAGAATTCATTTCTAATTATTGCAATTTTTAAATTTATCAGCTTTTACTGTATGCATAAGTAAATTATAATTAAGTTACACACTCCGTTTTAATTTGTGTAACTAATTGTACTAAAAAGATATATTAATAAAAGTTTGTTATTCGAGAAACCAAACTCATTTTTCGAACTGAAAAGATTATGAACACAATAAAACAACTTGCAGTTACACAAAAATTTATCTTTTTTTTTTTAAATTAACTTAGTATTTTTACATCTCAATTTTGCATAGCGTGTGTTTGCCTAATAATAAAAGCTTCCATAATTTATGACATCTGAAATCCGACGCTCTTTAATCTCTATTTGTCCTCTGAATCCTTTTAAGTTTTCCTTAGAATCGTTGACATTATCACGGCAAACTAATACTTACCATTTGGACTCCTTTCCCCACAGGAATGTTATAATGTCCAGGTTTAATCGATATGACTTGATATAGGTGAGTATTTGTTTTTGTATGCAATTAGTTTTGTTGAGAATCGTTTAAGATGGAAAGTAATTGTGCAACAGATTGATTATATTTACAACATTTCCCAAATTTTTTCAAAACTAATCACGCACAACATATCAACTAACAGCACATCGCTTGTCCTTACAATTATGTGTATCAAGTGACAGAGGTGGACTTTGAATTAAAAATTTTATTCTACCCGAGGTAGAGTAGTTCATGGAACCCATTGGACTAAATGCCAGCGCGAATCAATAGATTGCGGAACAGCCCTGTTCCATAGATGAAACTACAATAATGAAAAAGCTATCTGATGGTTAGGACGCTAAAATAACATTTCTTTAGTGGAAAATTGCTAGGGAAATTAGTATTGCGAGAGACTACAGGTTGGTTCATGTTATACCTCATGGAAGTTTTGTAGTTCATATCAATTTGAATGTATTAAACATTTTATTTTGTAACCGCTGCCACTATTATTTTCAATAACTAAATAGTTTGATTCCTTGTAGACATAGCGAAGCATTGTAGAGCTATAAAGAAGTAAGTTCTGAACACATGAATAATTGATTTTGTTTTCCAAAATTTTATACAAATTCTTTGATCCATTTTTGGGAATAAGCAAAAATCTAAGACAAACCAAAACTGCTGTCAAAAATTAACTAGTCAATCAAAATGACCGACCTTGTCAGCGACCAATCTAAAATCGAATACACGTAGCCCGCAGATTTCCGGTTTACTTTATACTACATTAATCGGGCAATATGTGGGTTATCTGAGTGAAAACGAGAGAAGGTGTTTTACTAATAACAATGTATGTGCTTAAAATGGATAAAATCGGATTAAAACTTGTCCTAGACCCTATATAACTAATATTACGACTTTAATCCATATATGTATATTGCTGATGGTAAGCGTACCTTAATGAAACGCACGGAACATAGTATGTGGCATATACGTAATATACCGTTTTCAAACTTCCGGATGGCCTTATACCATATATACCAATTACCCCCACACCAATATACTACATATAATGATTTTAGTTTTTCTGACAAGTCTTATGACGAATATGTCGTTCAGTGTGTGAGTTATATGTTTATAAAATTGTTTGAAAATATGTTCTTAAGTATACCTGAGCAATATCCAAATTAATGCTGACTTTAAGGTACATGTTGTTCAATATGTGTGATATTTTAATGATATTAAATGGATAAGTTTCCTTGAAAATTATGTGGTTTACCACTGAATATGAATCGAATTGGTCTAAAGCTCATATCCGTAATATCATCAATTCCGATCTACTGGTTGAATACCAAATTTGATTGTTTAAAATTTTGCCAACACCAGAAGTGTTGCAAGTTGGAAGAGTACAAAATGTTCGCTTACACGCGAACTTATCCCTTCCTTACTTGTTTTAAAAATTTATATTTTAATTTAAAAGGTTTGATTTCAATGCTTAGAAAAATTAGATATTTCTAAACTCAAGCTATGTATATATGTGTGTAAAATGATAAGAAAATAAATATACTGTTATATTATATAATATTATAACCTTACATGTATGCCCATATAGTTGTGTTCACGAAAATAGTAGTGCTAGTGTTATTGCCGGTATAATAATCCAAGGGATTGTACTTGAAGTTCAATTTTGAAAATGATTGATACAAATAATTGTCAATTGAAAGATTAATGAATTTTCAAAATCTATACCGAAAATTAGTATTTTTTGGCTTTGAAACTTATTTATAAACTTTTGAAGACTGGTTTGTTGCAACAGGACCATTTCTGTATTGAAATTCTCCGTTAAAATGGATGCACAAAGAATATTTCCGGTGATTTTTCTGGAGATCAAAAGTTTTTTACACCAGCGTTTGTACACTGTACAAATATATTCCAGTCAAGTTACACAGAAAATATAATAGAAATTGTGAAGATATATGTATAAATTAACAACAACCTGAATGATAGTGAATATATTCAAAACATGAATAAAAATAACATACTAAAAGTCGTAATCGTTCCGATGTTTGGAAAAAATACTGTTTTTTTTTTAAGGAAAAACAGAAACTCCCAGTTAACAACTAAAAATTCATATAGTAAATATTTTCGATTTTTTATATTTTGTTGTCAACCCTTTACTTTTTAAAGCAACCATACACGCCGTTGTATAGAGTCTACTAGATCCTGACAACGCTTTATAAAAGCTAAAGTTTAGTTCTACTTGATGGATTTTATGTTGCTACAACTTGTTTAACATATACCTACACTACGTGGATTTATTCTCATGCAAACTACTCCTTAGCTAGTTTGCTGGTCTGTTCGTTGTCCTGCTGACACGTCAATTTTATAGGCATTTCGAAGCTAGCAAATGATAAAACGTTTTGCAATGTCTTTACATTCAATGCACGGCCCATAATGCCATCGATCAAAAGTATAGAACATGGTACGAAAAGCCAGCTCAGATTACCGTTTTGGTAGTGTACCTGGAATGGTATTCTGTGTTTGGTGGCTAGCGGACATACTTTCTGAACCATGTTTTAGCATAAAAAAAAACGAGTTTCTCTGTCATCTCTTCATTCTGCCGTATTGTAAATGACAAATTTAAATGCTTCTTATTTTTGTCGCGACGAGTATATACGTCCTGATCGAAAAAGGTACTTTCCGGGACTCCGTGCCTTCAATGGTTGGTCTTACTTATTGCAACTTTATAATTTATTTACTATTTAATTTATGAACTACTATCGACAATCACTACTTTAATAATGAACAGCTTGTTTTTCAGAAAATATGAAAATGCGTCATTAAAAAGATAGCAGAAGCAAAACTAACAGAATTTGTTCGTATTTATTATTTGAAATGTCTATTATACCAAAATAACCAGACGCTTGTTTACTTGACAGCCAGTACATGTTAGAAAAGATCTTTAAATATAAGAAGCTGTTGCACCACTATTTTCAGGAATACAAATTTATGTGTCGCTATATTACGTTGCGCTTAGTAAGCTTATTATTTTGGTTACCATTTTATTGTACTTTTTTTTACAAACCAAAATACCAAAAGTAAATTTATGCTAAACATTTTTCTATTTTTTATTTCTTTTTCTATGTTTTATCTTCCCGCCTCTCTTTACACTCACACTCATACACTACCAGTTTTAAACGTAGCCTCTCTTAGCTGAGCATATCGGTGGTCTGAAGAAAGTAAGTTTTTCTTAATGGACACATACAAAACCAGTTTAATCAACAAGGACACACTTGTAGTTCTTCTTTAATAAATAGTTATACTTTACTGCATATACATATGCATTGTATAAATAAGCCTATATAAATTTTTAAGAATTAATATTTGATTTTATGTTGAAATTGCCTAAACTATTTGAATTTTGATAAGATTTTTCACTCATAAAAAAAACCGGTTTAAGTTAAATTTATCGGAGTTAATGCCCCAAAAACCAAACAACAATAATAAAAAGAAAAAATCGAAAAAATATATATGTTATATCAAATACCTTATAATAATTGTAAAATTATAATGGTGCGATATTGCTAATATTTAAATACCGACCCACTTGGTATTTTGGATTCCATGTCAAATCGACAAATAGTTGGACGCGACCCCCACTGATTCGCTTCTATTTTTTACACTTTTAATAGTCTAAAATATTTGTTTTATGTTAATGGGATGAAAAATAATAATAATAAATAAACAAACAAAAAATTAACATAAGAAAAAGATTTTAGACTTAAAATTTCGATAATCATGAGATAGAAATGATATTCAACAAAAAAGTTAAAAATATAAAAAAAAAACTATTTTGCCAAAATTCAAAAATTCATATCTTTGAAACAAAAAAGAACACCCTTCTGAAAATTTCAGAATTCCTTTAGATATGTTAGAGGCCTAATACGATTTTCCAAAATTCAAAGTTTTTTAATTTTGGTAATTTTCAAAATTTTTTTTTTCAAAGCAATTTTTTCCCCATACTTCTAAGTGACCTTTGACAACTCACCAGCGTCCTTTGTTTAATATACAGTGGTTTCTGAAATATTAAATAAATAAACTCATAAAATCGGGAAAACAGTGACATTTTCAATTTCGTATAGCTCTTAGGAAAATTTTTTCAAAACTTTTTATTTTGGCAGAACTTTGTTTTATGATAAGACAAAACTTTCCACCCAAATTCATTCGAAACGATGGGGGTCGCGCCCAACTATTTGTGGATTTGACATGGAATGACCCAAGTGAGATTCATCGGTTTTGGATCAACCCTACGACCTAGCTTTAAGTCCAATATTAAATGAATTATTCTCTTAAGTTTATGTACAAACAATTAAAAATTATGATTCGTTAATAGTAGAATTCATACATACAAACATACATACATATATAATGTGTACTAGTTTGGTTAAGAATAAAGTAAAATACTAAACTACAACAAAACACACAACGAAAATCCAATGGTGTATATACTCGTAAACATAAATTGTGTGTAAAGTGTAACAAAAAAATAAAAAGAAAAAGTTGTATTTAAATGTTTTAATTACCTGCATTCGTTGTGCTTAATAATTGTCAACAAGAATACGCGAAAATGCAAATAAGTTGCACTAGCACTATTAACGCTGCCATTTACGAGGGGCAGTAACAAGCAAAAAAGAAAAAGAAAAAGTGTATGTATGTATTTTAAAAATTATGTAGCTTAAACTAAGGTAATATTTAAAGAAAATTCTATATTAAATATAAATACATAAATGCAAATATATTCAGAAAATGTATAACCCTCGGCATGCAAACATATAATAAAACGATATTACTATAATGCAAATATGTGAATACATATTTATTTTATATGTATAAATATGCTGATATGTATAAATAATATGATAATAAATTAACCGTAATTAACGTGTTTGTTTCGCTGGGTGTGTAAGTAAATTAATTCAAACACCAAGATCACAGTTAAAAACAACATCACATTTATAAATCTAACAAAACGTACTGCATACGAAACTAATACGCAATTTTTACCTATTAAGGTAGGTTGTAAAGTTCTTATTGTCGATTTACTTCTTGATAAGACTACTATGATTTCCTGGGAGCGTTAACACTGGTAATTGTAAAGCTGACAGTATAATGTATGGATGGGTCTTAAGTGGTTTGGCTTTAACAGTTCAACTACCAGTACTTGTGCAGCTGCAAGATCTTTTGCTCTGATAAAAAGTTGAGTATGCTCTTCGCTTTCAGCAAGAGATTTTGTATTTTTTTTATTTGTATGAGTCTTGATTGGTCCCGCCTATTTGAAATCAAGGCTAATACATCTCGGATCTCTACCACTAGGGATTCTGGTAAGTTAGAATAAATGTATAGTTTCACGGCGCTTTGTCAATACTTAACATCCAACTATCACCTGTTGTTTGGCTTCAAAAAGGACAATTTTTGGTAGTCCAAGTGAGATCGAATAAAATCTCAACTAATCTAACCAGGTAAAACTTCGCTAATTAAGTTCAATGAGATATTATTTAAAGATAACGGTTTGCATTTGGTTATTATGTAAATAAATGCGATTTGAATTTAATATAATTCTTTTGCGTATACGAAAAACTTCAAAGTTATACAAAATTAAAATTTGATTTTTCATACCCACTTTTTTTTGGTTATAATGCAAAAATAAAAAGTTTATAGTTAAAAAAAAACCTTGTAATTCTGAAGGTTGTTAAGTTATATACGTTTATATAACAAGCAGACATTGGAACAATAATATTTTTGCTTGAAACAGCCATCAGAAAACTGTGACGGGTGGGACCTTAGATATTTGAAATTTTAAAGAATTATAATTTTCAGATTATATTATGTAAAATTTTGTATAGAAAGTAATTAATAATTTTGGTGAAGTACGTTGCTTAAGAAATTTTTGATTATAAATATAAAATATCTACAGTATAGAAAAAAAATATTTTTCTATAAAACAACTTTTCGGAAAACGTGACGGGTGTGACCCGGTAGGAAAACACGAAAAGGTTGAAGAAAGAAAACATTTTATTAACTTCATTAATAAATATTAAAAAAACAACAGTAATATAAACACATTTATTATTTGCTATCCGTACTATCGTATACTACACCTTATGAACGGCATGCGACAAAAATTTGAACTTTGAATGATAGATGCAAATGCACATGACATACATTTGGCCGCCGATGATTGTTAAAAACACATTTTCCAATTTGAATTGTTGGATTCGCGTCTTTAAATAAATTGTAGCATTCGGCTTTTGTCATATTTAGGTATCTTTTTTGAATTTTTTTCCGACAACTAGTTGATGAATTTTTGACGAGCTTTACGTCTTTGATACCGGGTGCTTGTCGACTGATATCACCTCCTTACTAACCTTAATTTTGTTTCTTACACTTACTGATGGTATCACCTTCGAAGGGAATGTCATTGAAAAGTTGCTTCATAACAGTAAATCTTTTCGACGGCCTACTAGGAAGGTTACGTTTAACTTTAGTCACTGCTTTCTTTAATGTACACTGAGATTTATAGCTGTCAATATTCAATCTATTCAAAACGCTTAATATTTGACTTGCGTCCTCTCCCACTCATTTTTTTCTTTTTTCTCCCAACGATTGTTTGTCCATTACGATCTTCTTAGCATCCCTCCTTTTTTATACTCTCGCAACCTGTTGCTACAGAGTATAATAGTTTTGTTCCCCTAACGGTTGTTTGTATCACCTAAAACTAATCGAGTTAGATATAGGGTTATATATACATATATAAATGATCAGGATGAAGAGACGAGTTGAAATCCGGGTGACTGTCTGTCCGTCCGTCTGCCTGTCCGTCCGTGCAAGCTGTAACTTGAGTAAAAATTGAGATATCTTTATGAAACTTGGTAGACATGTTTCTTGGTACCGTAAGACGGTTGGTATTGCATATGGGCGTAATCGAATCACTGCCACGCCCACAAAACGCCATTAATCAAAAACAAATAAATTGCCATAACTAAGCTCCGCAATAAGATACAATACTGTTATTTGGTACACAGGATCACATTAGGGAGGGGCATCAGCAGTTAATTTGTGGGCGTGGTCCCGCCTCTAATAGGTTTAATTTGCATATCTCCTAAACCGCTAATGCTATAATAACAAAATTCACTGGAAGCAAATGTTTTTAGCACTTCTATTGACAATGTGAAAATAGTTGAAATCGGGTGGCAAGTCCGCCCACTCCCCATATAACGGTACTGTTAAAAACTACTAAAAGCGCGATAAATCAAGTACTAAACACGCCAGAGACATTAAATATTATCTCTGGGATGGTATAAGATAATTTTATAGAAACCGCGTTCAAAATTAGACAATGGGCGTGTCACCGCCCACTTTTAGGTGAAAACCTATATCTTGGGATCTACTTAACCGATTTCAACCAAATTCGGTGCGTAACGTTCTTTTTATATTTCTATGTCATAGTGCGAAAATGGGCGAAATCGGACTGCGCCTATTTCCCATATAACACCATTTTCAATTCCATCTGATTCTTTTACTTTCCACTATGCATATCAAGCAACAATGATTATACCGGGGTAAAACTTTGCGTGAATAATACGTTTAAAGTATGCCACCTTGTGACCAAAAATTGTCTAAATCGAACAAAAACTGTTTAAGCCCAGCCCCTAAGTACTAAATATGTGGACCCCAGTGCCTATAGTTGACCTTCTACCGAAAATATCAGCCAATCCACAAAGAAATCTCAAACGAGTATACCATTTGACTTTGCGAGAGCAAAGAAGGTTCGGTTACATCCGAACTTAGCCCTTCCTTACTGGTTTTATCTCTTTTTCTCCGAAGTTAAATTTAGTCAATGTTATTAAACTTTATTTTATTATTTACTGTGACGGGTATAACTAAAAATTTATTTTCTTAATTATTCCATGAAAGCTTTGTTGTAAAAAGTAGAATATTGAAAGTCTGTCAAATTGTAAGCAATAGTGTTGTCTTCTTACAGATAATGTGGTTTATAAATAACGAGAGAAGCAATAGAAGTAAACGTTATTTTATAACAGATAATACAGTGGAGAAAATTAAGTATTCAGTATATACATATAAATTTCAAAAGGTTGTGAAATTTATAAAAAAAAAAAAACATTGGAAAAAAGTTTTATTTTTTAATAAGTTTAGAAATGTGACTCTCTTGTAGACGTCAAATGATCAAATTCAATTAAAAATATGTAAATTATTATTTTTATGTGCATCGCCGCTTTACATGGAATAGTCCTATACAAAAAATCAATACTTTAATAATTTACTCAGCAATTGCAACCAATAAATAGTTCAACGATATCTAACTCTTCTATTGTACATATACATATGTATATAAGTTTGGTCATATATGTTTGTATGTACATTTAGAGCTTGAAAGTTGTTAACTACATTTTAATTATTATTTGGTAAAATTGATTCTGCTCGTTTTTAGAAAGAAATAGATTTAGTTCCGTCCATTTTATTGGTTAAATTTTTATTATTCCATACTAGTAAAAAAGAAAACTCCGTCCTTAAATCATATGACTACTAAAACAACAGATAAATGTTTTGAAAACGATGGTAATTTCCTTTGAATTCCATATGGAAGATGTACCTAAGTTGTAGAAAATATCTTCTCGTTCATTCCTTCAAGATATAAGGTGTCGCAAAATTATAAACCTACCTGAGTATTTTTTATTTCTGAGTATGTTTATGGCATACAAACCATATCATAATTTGTTCTTTACTATTTCTAAAAAAAATGTTTACATAATATGACCGATTTTGTGTCACTTGTTATATGCCATTGTATATATTGCACAAGTTTGGTGAGATATGAATTATTGTTTAAAAATTATTTGTATCACTTTTTGCTGTATGAAGTCGCTAAATTTGCGAAAATTGTTTAAGAATCGGCTTGGTAAAGTACCGCTGTTTTGAAATAAAATAACTGTTACACTAAATACCCAGCAGAAATTTTGGATCTCATACAGAAAAAGAGAAAACTGCGTTAAAATAAGCTAATACGGAAAAACAGAACTGAACAATTTAACTAAGCTTCTCAGTAAATTCAACCAACAATAAATAAAGAAGTTGTAAATTTTATCAATACTAGATTGAAACCTAAAAGGCTCCTGGCTTTGACTTGATAACTGCCGATGCTTGACTAAATCTCAGGTAAATCATTATGATACAACAACCTGGGAAAAGAACATATGAAGCCTCATCATATCACCCAATCTCATTGTTGTCGATTTTGTCTAAGCTACTTGAAGCTGTCATTATTCGAAGACTTGGAAAAAATAGTCTCAGCGTCTTATAACAATTCACGCATTTGGATTTAGATCTCAACATTCTACAATCGACCAAGTACTTCGCATAACAAGCATAATAAAAGATGCAATAGAAAATAAGAACATCTGCACAGCAGTTTTTCTAGGCACATCGTAGGCGTTCGATATCGTGTGGCACCATGGATTATTATAAAAATTAAAACTCGTTCTTCTGATCTACTTGCCTCTTACTTAAAAAAACGCTACTTCAGAATCATGCAGGGACAAGCATATTCCACTCTACAGCCAATAAAAACAGGTGTGCCTCGAGGAAGTGTCCTAGGACCACTCCTATATATTTTGTTTACCAGCGCTATGCATACACCTATAAACAGCACAACTGCCACACTTGTCGATGATACCTGCATCATTACGACCGGTAAAAATTAAATAAAATCGTCCAACAGAATGCAAACTTCAATTACCCAAGTATTCGAATGGACACAGAGATGGTGCATAATCTTAAACGAGATGAAGTCAATACACGTAAACTAGACTAACAAAAATGTTAGACATATTCCCTTATATATTGGAAATGAAGTAATCCCATACTCCACCTCGGCGAAATATTTTGGCATGAAGCTGGATTCAAAGCTGAACTGGAAAGAGCACACACATAAAAAGTTGCAGAGCTAAAGCTATATATTGAAACTTTGCAAAGGATCCAAAATAAAATTTTGAGAAAACTTGTAAATGCACCGTGACCTATCAAAACTGTCCTGGAAGTTATTCGCGAAGCAGCATCGAAACATGCAACAAGGTTACATTTTTATTGTAGTTTTATCTTATAAATTTTGAAAAATATTGCTTGTTAGTATAACTCTTTTTACTAGTCGCAATTCAATAAAATGTAAACCCATAATTTATTTATTACGTTTTAAACTACAAAAACATTACTTTGCTATGATCCTTTATTGGTTAGAATTAACTTGTTAATTAGTATAATTATATTATTGTGATTATGGTAGCAACAAAGATACTGCTGTCAAAAAATAAGTACGAGTAAGGCCATTCAAATATGTATTAAGATTCCCATATACTTATCATTGATTCCCATATACTTATGAGCCAGAAACGTACAAACGAAACTGGTCAGCATAATTGTAATGCCAGATTCTTGAAGGATGATGGAATTTACTTTAGTTTGCTATACTCTTTAGATTAATGAGAGGACATTATTTTGTTCGTCTAATGCTACAGTTGGATTCCCTTAGTTCGTAGTAAATAAGTCCAAACTATTGAAATCGAAATGATATATAATGTATTGACAAAATTGACTGTGATGCCTTCATAATGATTAATGCATAAAAATATAAAAATGTTATTTTTAAATTGACATTTCTAACTATAAAAAGACACTTAAATAAGCACACAATACAGTTATTACTGTTTAAATTTTTATGAACTGTTTATTGAGTTGTCTTAACATGCAAAACCTTTTAGCATTCACAATGACATTTGGTGGTTTAGTCAGACATTTTTCTAATATAGTTTATTACTCTGGCAAAAAATTATAACATGGTATCCTTACTGCTTTGAAATGAGAA